CGTTACGAAAACTGAACGATTCAATTGTACTGTTATGTTCTAAACGAGGTCACGGCCAATAGGTACATAACGGTATACAGGGGTGAGTGAACATGCAAGTCCAGGACTGGTAGTTTTGGAAATTACCACATCGACCCGGAATTCAAAATTTGAATTTGAGCGGTCCCAGCATTAGCTGCCCAACTGACGGTACATTATAATAGTTTACTTATTGTTAAATTTAATTAAAGTCGGTTTTATCAATTTTTATCACTTAAGTATGTATATATATGTTACGGTAATCTTTTTATTTAATTCATGCCTGGGGGTGTCACCGAAAAAAACGTGATGGTTCACTTTGTCACCCATGGGTCAGTGGTTCGCCATCCCTGGTCTATGGTTTCATAATTTCTAATCCTACCTTTTTCATTAATTTACATTAATTGTTTATAGAAAGATGTACCTGATATTAGTTCAAGACAATGATTCATTACATTAAAGTTTTTCAGCTGTATGCTTCAGCTTGGGAATTATATTGCGAGAATTTTAATCGCAAAAGCGGGATATTTTTTATTGTATTCCTTGGCGCTTGAGGAAGCGCTGACATTAAGTTCACTGCTCAGTTGGTGACTTGCTATCTTTTTGCGGGTAGTTAATGATGATATAAAATTACCGTGGAGACCGCAGCCATATGCCCTGTTAAGGGTTTGACTAGGTTTTTGATCTCCGGTTAACTATCGAAGTTAAACCGAGTTTAACTAACCCGAGATTAGTCCTAATCCAAGTTTAAGTTAAGTGAGGTTTTTGATCTCCACCCAGGGTGGAGATCAAAAAGGTAGTTTAACCTCGAATCGGAGTTTAACTTTGGATCGGCGGTTTAAGTCCGGATCAAAAAGGTGGTTTAACTTTCTGTGACGTAAATCTCGACTCAAAATCGGCGATTTTTTAAACCTGGTCTGGAGGTGGTTTAACTCGGTTTGTCGAGTGCATTTGGATTGCGGCGCTTGTCGCGTTGGATGTTATCGCTTACCGTACAATCTATATTGTATTCTGGGGCGACAAAAGGAGTAACAGGGAGCTCTGTACAAGCGTCACGACGAATAAATAATTGTATACCTGTACCACGAGGCTGCGATATGTAGCATTTGCGGTGGTACCTGTGCTTGTCCGGTACGGTACCTAACGTACTACGCCCGAACAAAATTATTTACAACGTAGAATTGGGCTATACTATAATAAATCTAGTAAGGTAAATACATACCTACCTGGCGTATTGATATATTTCCGTAATTGCGTTTTTTTTAATTTATTAGCAGTTTTTGTGAAGATTTATTTTAGCTTAGATTGTAGGCTATAGTTGTACCAGTAGTCTATTGCTATATGGGTTCTTGTCATAAACAGACATAGGGCCCAGTATTTTAGTATAGTTTCGTTGGTAAGCAGTTGCGCAGGGGTACCGTCGAACAGATACTCCTAGTCCTAATACAGTAATATAAACTTCAAAATGTTTTAACAAAAATGATAAATATTTTCAGATATTTAGATCTACCAGTGCCCGAAAGATTCCTTTTGGGTATATTTTGTGTATGAGCAGAACTGAGATTTACCTACGATATCCATGTATCACTTCTGCACTGAGCCCCGGTGTATGTATCATCTTGTCATCGGCTAATTCACAAGTCTGCAAGTTCCCGAAGTTTGATCAAAAAAATAGGCAAGAAGCGAATAGATAGCAGAAGGTTGGCTGGATATTTTGATATAAACCAATGTAAAATCATATTGCATGTTATTTGTATGCTGTATGCACAAATGTACGATATTTATGGTATTAATGATTCTGACTCTTGCTATATAAAATGAAACTAGAATATTGTAGTACCATGAATTTCACCAAATGCTAGAATGAGTATATTGATAACTATATATTGCCAATAACTTATCATGAATGCAATGGTTCATGCTATCATAACTATTTCTTCAATGTAACATTGTTTTCTGATTTTTCATTTATTTCTACAGCTGTTTCAAATCAAGTAAACTGTCTGAGTGCCACGATGATGATCAATCTCATCAGCTCTATTGGAAGAGCAAATCTGTGAGTTTGTCACTATTTAAATGTCATATTATTTGTATGTAAACTGTCCTAAATTTATGTTCGCAATTTTCAGTAAAAATAGGAGCCTCTTTAGTATCAGCTGTTAAATGAAAATTATTTTTAGTTTGTGTGTATAATCTGTATTATTCGTATAATGTGAGGATACTTTTATCAAGGTAAATTTCTTATTGGTATTCTCCCAGATCTGTTCAAGTAACCGAGATGTGACAAACTTTTCAAAATCATTCCCATTAGTCATTTCTTGTTACATGCAGGCAAAACTAGTGTCACATGATTTTAGAGTAGAGCAAAGTTGTTCGACATACAATCACAATCGAAGACAAAAGAGCCTTCGTTTAATATCTGAAAACTAAAAATACTCTACTGTTTTACTTCTCCAAATTCATATAATTAAATATACATTGGATTTTATATAATTCAAAAATATCATTTCAGAATACAAAAAAAGCTGTACAAATTTGAATACAAATTATTCGGTTTTAGTCATTGCCTAGGTCGAATTTGCTTCTCTAATATCTAGCGCACTTCATCAATATACTATCTTTAACCCTGTATTTTCATTTATATTGTTCAGGTCATGACAAACAACTGTTATGGATAGGATTATAGTAAAAGTGTTGTCAAGTCAAGGTTGCAGCAGTGCTTTATTTTACGACTTCGTGTCCAACAAATATGTGGAACCCTTTTAACTTAAGCTTAACAAACAAATAATTCTTGCATGCTAAAACATTTGAAGCAAACGTAGTTATGTCAATTTTTTGTCACTTGGCGAGTCTTCTGCAGAAGAAATAAATAAAACTTTTAAATAGCAACGAAAGCAACAACTATGATTGCACCTGTGTCTGTGTGCATCTGTCTCAAAGCTGTAGAGCCAGGATAAAATTTAGCACCTCCTCCGAATTGATTCTATACTTTTTCCATTTCTTGAATGTCAGTACATTTTAGCAGTCATTTGAACAAATGAATATTAGTTATTTTTGCAATACAAATTTTCAAAATAATAAAATGTTAAATATGTAGAAGCCTGTGGCCCAGAACTTGCCAGGGATAGGCTTTCAGCTGAAGTGTGTTCATTTCGCCTGTTTTCACTCTAAGTAGGATGCGGGTTCTATAATTTAAGTCTGTTTGTTGTTACGCTGAGGTTTAGGAGAAAAATATTAGATTCAATTGGTGTTGTAGACCAGGGTCGTTCAACTCATATGTAGAAGCATTTCTAGGTGTTTGCAAAAATAGCCTGTCAAGACAGACCATAACTCGTCTTGTTGAAGAGCTTGGGAATTCTATTGCGAGAATTTTAATTGCAAAAGCGGGAAATTTTTTATTCCTTGGCGCTTGAGGAAGCGCTGACATTAAGTTTACTGCTCAGTTAGTGACTTGCTATGTTTTTGCGGGTAGTTAATGATGATATAAAATTACCGTGAAGACCGCAGCCATTGCCCCTGTTAAGGGTACGACTAGAGGCATTGATTTTTCGAGAGCTGTGATAAAAATTATTAAGCGTCTTGTCTTAGGCTAAACTTTCGGGAATAACCACTGATGGCGACCCGTCAATGGTCGGAAAACAACAGTTTTATTGTTCTAATAATTGTGAAAGTTTGATGTGAGGGTATTTTTTTTATTATTAACCTATAGTAGTGTAGCAAAACTAGATCATAAATACCATGTCAATTGGCCCGCGCAATTATTAATGAATTACATGTGGCCCTTCGACCAAAAAGGTTGGCCGACCCTGTTGTAGTTGTAGACTGTACCAGTATTGGGAAGAATTCTATTTATGATAAATTGTTATTATTTCGATATTTCGTGTAATGCGCGTCAGCTCTTCGTAGTTCTACCGCCCAGCTTGTTTTGCTTCGGCAAAATCAACGAAATACATCAAAAACTGACTTTGCAAAGACAGCAAATTACAACAAAATTGGGTTCGCGTTGTCATCGCCATGGGAATACGGGGTCAAAGAGCAACATGCCACGACGTTTTGATGAAATGCCTCGTGGCGTCGGACTTAAACCAAGATTAGTTAAGTAACCGCTAAACTAGGTTTTTGATCTCCGGTTAACTATCGAAGTTAAACCGAGTTTAACTAACCCGAGATTAGTCCTAATCCAAGTTTAAGTTAAGTGAGGTTTTTGATCTCCACCCTAAATCTAATTATGCATTTTTTAAAAGTATTAAATCTGTGTGTTTTTTTGTCATGGAAAATCTGTTCAATAGATTTGACAGTATCATTTGTAATATTCAGGCTTGTGGCTATAAAGCTTTCATTTCATTGCCCCTGTTGCACATATTGCTTTCTGTCCATCCAATATCAAATTTTTGCAAAATAGAAATTGCCAAGATGAAAAATAACAACTTCTAATCGAAATAGTATTTATTCAACCATAGTAATAAATAACCTCACTGCTGATTGCTGTTGACCAATGCATTATTAGTATTCACGATTTCATTTATTATAATTGATATGGTTCGATAACATACTTGTTCAAGTTCAAGTTGTGCTATTTTTATTTTTGTGTTTTCAAAAAATAGTTAAAAATTGAATAACTCAATTGCCATTATGCCTTCCGAAGAGCTTTTGTTTAAGCAGTCAATATTTGACTTCATTCTTTACATAGCTCCGAGATTGTGATGTGTTGTTATTTGATCAGGCATTGCCTTCTGTTAAAGTTTAATTTTTTTATTGTAGTCATTGTTTTAGGAAGCAAGATTTATTTGTGATGAACTGTGAAGTCAAACTCTTTTAATTTAATTTCTCTATTGTTCAAGGTATTATAATTAGTAGGATAAGTATGGCCATACGATACCGGTTGGTTTTTCTATGCAAATGTCCACTTTCTGAGAATGGGATCTGATCTAATCAAAATTTAATTTGATCAATTGGCATGAAAAAATAAAAACAAAACATGACGGTATCACACAGGGTTGCTAATATTGGTTTTTTTATGCGCAAATTCAGCAATTTTGATTTTTTGAAGCACGTTCAGTGTCGAAATTCATGTTTGATGTTTTGGCATTTACTTGACTTGTTGATATATATTCTAGTTTCTACTATTAAAATGGGCTGCAGTACGGTATATAGTGTGCAACAATACCTACTGCTTAGCTACCCCCAGGAATTGTTTTTCTTGTTTATTATTTTAAAACCACAACCAAACTTTTGCAGCTACTCAGATAGATATTCAAGCAGGGGTGTTGTGAATTTAGTTTTTCACGTTACATTGTTATTTGTCAGTTTTTAGTTATGTTTATGAAAAAATTTGAAAATTAAATAATTAATTGTCATTAAGCCTTCCATTATTCCGAGGAGCTTCAGTTTAATCAGTCAATATTCAACTTCATTTATTACATAGCTTCGAGATTGCGATGTGTACTTATTTAATCAGGCATTGCCTTTCGTTATGGTTAATTTTTTTATTGTAATCTTTGTTTTATGAAGCAAGGTTTATTTGTGATGAACTGTGAAGTCAAACTCTTTTCATTTAATTTCTCTATTGTTTAAGGTATTAATTAATAGTGGTATAATCATAAGCAGTACTTTATAAAATCAAATGAAGTCATCTCAGAAATGGAAGAAAAAATCAATACAGATTCTAAAGAACAAGCTGTTGAAATTTTACAACAATTGAATGAATATCGTAAAACTGGACGTCATTGTGATTTCATGATCAAAGCTGGATCTGAGGAACTTCCTGTTCATAAGAATATTGTGTCGGCAAGTTCCGATTATTTTAAAGCAATGTTATCTCATGAAAATGTTGAAACAAAATCTGGTGTCGTTGAAATAAAGGAATTTGATGAAGTTTGTGTTAAAAAATGTGTTGATTTCATTTACACTGGAGATGCTTATGTTGCCAAAGAAAAACGTGAAACACTCATGGGTGTCGCTCACATGATGCAGCTGCAAAGACTTTGTGATAGTATTGCAATTTTTCTGGAAGATGATCTTGATCCTAAATCGTTTTTTCAAACTAAAAAAATTGCGAATAGGTACAACTGTAAACAACTTGAGGAAAAATGCAACCAATTTGCATTGCAACGTTTTAAAGAAATTGCCCAGTCTGATGAGTTTATGGATCTTGATGAAAAATTTATTTCATTTTTGATGGAATCAAATGAAACAAAAGCAAAAGAAGAAGGGAAATGTAAGATGTTGTTAGCATGGACCAAACATGATATTGATGAAAGAAAGGAATGTTTTCTTAGTTTGGTGATGAAATTTCAGTTGACAAAAATGACTTTGTCATATAGAAGATTTCTTGTTGAAAATGAACCATTGATATTTGAATCTATGCAGTCTATCCAGTCCCTGACTTTGTCAATATTAGACAGTCATGGGGATATCAGCTCAAAAGATTTTAATTTTAATTTAAAAAAGAATAAACAGCTATTTGTTTTTGATCAAACTTCTCAAAGAATGCATTCTCTTGATGTTGCTGATAAAACATCGACACCAATGCAAACCATAGATCAAGCAATTATACAGAATGTATATTCTGCTGTAGTGATGGAATCTTACATTTATGTGATTTGTACAAATAAATTATTTTATAGACTTGAATATGCTGAATCAAATGCAAAGTGGGAACAAATGACAAATACAAATCTTCAGAATGCATGTGTAGTTGCACTTGATGGTTTTGTTTATGGTATTGAGTATGGAAAGCACTCAAACATTATGGAAAGATATGATCCATCAAATAATGAATGGACCAGACTTACGAACAAATCATTGATTCTAGCTTGTGAATCTTTGGTGGCTGCTTGTGGAAAGGTGTTTTGTATTGCAGGATATTCTAATCAGCAATGTCGAGCAACAAAACAAGTTGAGATTTATGATCCTGTCACATCAACTTGGTCAATGGATAATGGATCATTGAATGAAGCAAGATATCGTGCTTCTGCTACTGCTACAGAGGAAGGTATATATGTTATGGGAGGGTATAATGTTAATGGGGGTACAGTTCTGAATACTGCTGAATTTCGTTCATCTGTAACTAAAACCTGGATGATGTTGAAACCAATGAAAAATGCAAGACAATGGTGCAGTAGTTGTGTGATTGATGACAAAGTTTATGTCATTGGTGGAAATGGAAATCTTGCAAATATAGAGGAATATGATCCTGAAACAAAAGAATGGAAAATCATTGAAACAATACAAGGAAAAAATATAATTCCACTGGCAACTGTTGCAATATCTATATAACATTAATTACTCTTATACTTCACAAATATAGTTCTCATATTCTTCATGAAAAAAATACTTATCAGTCTTTCTAATGTAATCTCAAATTATTTTTTTGCATAATGATGAAACTTGTATATTAATCATTTGTGTGGTAATATTTAGATGTAATAATTTATTTAACCAAAAGGTTTATTTAATTATTGTTTGCTTAAGAATGAATTTACAGAATGGTAAATTCTCTTTACAGATAGCCAATATCAATAATTTATTTGTTTGGTTAGGTAATCATTACCTATTTCATTTGGAAGTGACAATTGAAAATTAAGTTCATATCAGTAGTGTTTATTTTTTTTATTTTTATATCATTGCATTTGTTATGGTCAACAATTCAATCTCTAATTCTTGAAAATTTATCATTTTTCAATATTTTATTCAATTTTGTGATATATCAGATTACATGGGCTTACCCCCTATTATTTTTTATGGTTGGTATGGTATGGGTTGTTATCATATCTTTCTCATTACCTCGCATTAATTGTTTATGATGGGGCCTATCTGATTTCAGTTTCATTCAATAATTAAAGTTTTTCATTTTTATGATCCAGTGTGGGTTATTTATATTAAATGCTCATTCCTTCAAAATCACTGTGTTTGATATAACTAGTTCGAAGATATGGATCTTTAAATGCGTTGATTGTAATTCATGCTCTTTATTCTTGAAGTAACTGACCAAAAAATTGTGTTTTTGTAAATGAAATATTTAGGGTAGTGGCATTAAATCTTTTATTGCATGGCCCCTACTGCACAAATTGGGTTCTGTCCATCCAATATCAAATTTTTGCAAATCTATTATTTCAAATAAAAGTAAATACAAAACTCTTGGATCACTGTTGTGTGTTGTCCAATGCATTATTAGTGTTTTGTATTTTTGAGATGAGGCTCATTTCATACCATCATCTGTATAACATCATAACAGACTTGTTGTGGCCTTCAAGGTTGAGATCAATTATGCAACTTCTGATATTTCTATTCTGAAAATGATGATGATTTTGAGAAAATTTCTTTTTCGTGAATTTCTTTGCATCTAGTGAGCCATGAAATATAATCATTATTTATTGATTTCCATTCCTGATTAGCAGACAATAAGTTCTGTAATAAAGGAAATATGATTTTATTGAATATTCTCAAATTTTATTATTGTAGTATATTCATATTGACTAATTTACTGAACTAGATAAAATATACTGTGTTAGTGAAATTGTCATTGTTATTACGGTATGTATATAAGGTACTAGAAGGAAATATAACTTTTCATTTTGATGTTAATCTTCTGACAAATTCTTACTGGTATTATTTATGCAATTTTTCACAGCTGTAATTTGCAATATTGATATCATAATTAGATCAGCTGAGAAAGAAATTAAATACGCAAAGTTACTGCCAGCCTTTATAACATGCTTGATTCGTCACTCAACAATTTCCCAAAAGATTGTTGAAGATGATTTGTTTGATGCATATTTTTTTATATATATATATATATATATATATAGTTTTACGCAGACAACACATGTCATTATTGTTTGGCATTAAGTGGAATTGATATCAGGCTGTGAAGTTGGCGGTTATAAACTCATTTTAATATTTGCTTGAAACAGCTGTATTTCAAATGTCCTTGAGTTGGATTCAAAATAGATTAAAGGCTTCAACCTGAATTTTTTTTATACCTAGAACACCAGTAGATTCTGGAATTGGTGAGAAAGTGGAGTAGTTTTCAATTTTGATGATGTCATCGCACACAAAAACTGAGTCCTAAAGAGCCAGCAGAAATATTTGAAATAAATGAAAGTAATAGACTTTTAGCGAAAAATACAGTCTTTAACCAATGGAAATTTCAAAGCAATTCCTCCAGTAGGTAATAAGGAAAGATATTTTTTCACAACGACAAGAACATAATAAAAAAACGATCCATATGTACACTTCATGTCCAATTAGAATCTAGAAGATCAGGAAGTTATATTTTAATTAATATTTCTGGTGAAGTGTCATTGGCGAGCAATCGGAATCACAGCCATGAGCCACCACCAGATGGTTAGGGTATTCCCCGTTTCACGGATAACAGACAGGAAGATGTTGTGTTGTGTGAAATACAACACGGTGCATTTTGTTTCGGCATTCTGGACATACCGGTATAAGTTTAATTTTATTCATCAATGAACTAGGTATATGTGTGAATGCAATATTGAAGAGACTTTATGTGATTTATTTTTGGGGTCTTACTACTTACCGAATACAGCGCGAAAGAGCCCAAAACAGAGGGAAACAGCGCATAACAGGAGACGCAGTTAATACCACCTCATGACGGCTCCTGCCACGAAAGAACCACGGCGCCTCTCGCCATGGTTTTATGGCGATATTTCCGGTATATTTACAAATTTATGTGCCGGATTCTATATCATCATGCGAAATTTTACCAACTTTTTTTTTCATCTAACCCTAAAGTCGGCGGTGTGGCGCCATATGATTAAGCCGTCTTATCGGCTTTCCTCTTCCTCGGGATAAATATGTAAATCCTATCCTAAATCAATTAAAACTGTATCCATATGGAAAATGTTCTAAATTGCATTACCCAAAATGTGTCACTAGCAGGGCAGACCTGCCATTAAAACCTACATGCCTTGGTTTGTGTTTTTAATTTGCTGCCGTGGTACCACAACTCAAGAAAGAAAGAAAAAATATGTGCCCCAACTCATTGAAAAATTTTTTCTGCTTTGCGCTGTTTCTCTCTGTTTTGCGACTGTTTTCCTTTGTTCCGCGTTATTTCCCCATGTTTCGCGCTGTATTTAGTAAGTAGTAAAACCGTTTATTTTTGGAATGTCAAAGCGCTGCATTATATATGATACAAAACTCCGGTGATGGTATGGTTTTATATTTTAATTGTTACATATATTATTTAAACTTGTGGGGAATGTTAACTTGTTAAATTAACATGTTAAATGGAATGTTAAATTTCAAAAACACTCCCTCGTTCCGCCGCAAATAAAATTCCTGTCGTAAACGAAAGCAAGATTTACCGTCGCTTATGTTAATCTCGAAGAAGACTTCTTATCAATGAACTAAACCCGGAAGAACTAGACCAACAGTTTGCGACCGATTGCTAAATAAAACAGTGGAGTACATCAACGTACCCGCCGCAATCTAGCGACTTTTGTCGTTGGTACGTATACGTGCCCACTGCACGGAAAGGGTTAATTCGGGGCAACTTATATTAATTAGACACTAAAATCTCTATACGAAATAGAGGTAAGATTGGGCCAAAAATTCCGGCCCGACCCAGGCCCGTGGGTATTAAACCCGACCCAAGCCCGACCAATTAACTGGATTTGCAGGCCCGAAGCAAACCCGAAAGTTCCTATTTTATTCAGTTCATCGAATTGTCTTTGCAAGAGTTGATGAGGCAACTTCTGTTTTTATGCAAACCACGGTCTCTCGTGGCCAAAACACGTCCGAAACGCCTCATTCAAAAAGAGTCATCGATAGAGAAGCCCGACCCAAACTTAAGGATTGACATTTCAGGCCTGACCAGGCTCGAATTTTGGGTTGGCTCAGGCCCCAGATCTTAGCTTTGATATGAAAGTTCAGTTCAACATTGGAATTTATTTGGCGAGAAAAAAAAAGTCATAGTCAAGTTGATTTATTTTCAACCGGTAATATATTCAACAGATACAAATGCAAAAAACATTACCGGCAGACTGGGAAGTGAAGTCGCGGGGAGATTTGATGGTGGGCCTGTTATCCAACTAAACCTAATTGAAATTATAATCATCTATCATCCGTAGTGGACTGGAGAAAAAAGATGATGAAGAGCAGGTTCAGACAGGCTAATGACAAAATGAATTCCATTAAACATTAGTTGTTTAACATGCCCATATAAAGTATGATACCAGTACTAAAATATGAAATAACAGAATTAGAATGAAACATATACTATCATGAGCTAGCATTTGGATAGGCGCATTATACTGCAATATGTATGAATAAATAGATAATAAAACTATGTTGGAGTGTCAGTTCAGGTTTTTAGGCTTCGAAACATCTCGAGAACAAACCAAATTAAACTATTATCATTACAGGGTACCGGTACTTGCATTGTACATTCCACAAGAGAATTGTATTTTCCGACATATAGACTTGATAGGTGTATTTGATGTTCTTGGTACAGCAACGTTTATCTGTTATGTTGCCAATTCAACAGTTGGTTGAACAAATTTTAAGTTTTTCTGTTTTGCTCAGTTCAAGCAATTCTGGTATATTTAAGATGGTCTAGATCAGTGGTTCCCAAACTTTTTTGGCCATCGCCCCCCTAAAGTAGTTTATACAACTTCATCGCCCCCCTGCACTACAAAAAAATATAAAGTCAGAAACGAATATATTACAGACCAAATAAGAAAACAAATCATAGTTTATAGTGTTTTTTAATGAGATAGATGAGCTTGGTGTTCTTCAGCGAGTTTTTTATTATATATATCTAAAATTACCCTGTTTACTGATGGAAAGGTGATTTCGTTGTTTTAATAGCAATAGTAGCACGGCTGAAAACCCCCTTTTTACCATATAATAGGTCGGAAATGAAAGAATCCAGGGTTCTACCTCCTCAAAAACCTCCGTGTACTCTTGCCTTGTAGCATTTCACTTCCTAAATTCACCCCATTTCACATTAAAATAATAGAACGAAAGTTAATTTTCCCAAACTTATAATAATGATTTTCGTACATCTCATTCATTCGTACAGCCTGATGACCTGCACCAAAAAACTTCGGAAAAATTCATCCCCGATTCCTCATCCTATCACGGCCTCCAGTCCGATCACCAGTCCATAATTAACCAGCCATTTGTTTTTGGATTCATAGACTCGGATGTGGAAGAAGCCGTGACTGACTATCGGCTACGGCCCAGGGGTCGGCAAATTTTATGTCGCTCGCAGGACAAAATTCAGGGTTGCTAGCATTTTGCGGGTCGCATATATTTTTCGAAAGTTAAAAACAGAACAGCGTGCAAAAACTGCGACAATTCGTGAACTCAACTCAGTCGTCTTATTAAAAAAATATTACAATGACATTTAATGTGACACTGTCTTCTTGCTGCATCACGCTGGATAGCTTTACGACGCCAAGATTGAAACATTTTCTAAATGGGCGTCACCAAACCCACTTCTTTGCTTGTTCTTTGTAATGTTCATTTTCGAAAATAATGGTTTGCACAATTACGTACTTCCAAACATCGAAGTGAATATTTCCGCATGATTTGTGAAATTTTGATAAATATTTTCTTTAAGAAGATACATTCTTACAAAAATTAAGCAGTGATCAATCTCTTTCATAGAAATGAATTTTATTTCCTTATTGCTTTGCAATATATTCGAATATTTACTGCGCTTTTGAACCCCTGCACTCAGCATCAACTTTTCTGCGTGTTTCCATTTGTCTAATTATAATTAAATTGTAGGCTCGTTAAACGAGTGGCTGTTCACTAAATTGTTAGGATATAGGATAATTCAGTATAAACGTGTCTCACGATGAATTCTGTTACATAAAAAAATGTAATTTACTCCTCGAGCGTAGATTATAAATAAAAAAAATTTCATCGTCAAAACCGCCGTTTGGATATTTCCCCGGGCATGAACTTCCTTGTTTACTTCGTGGCATTGGCCAATCAGCAAGATGCAAAAAACGTAACAATGCCCCCTTTCGCAGGCGCTCAGACACTCTCACTCAGACAGATTTTCAGGCGTGGTCGTGAACATTACCTCATTTTCGCGTTTTGAATTATATTCATTAGTTTTTAGTTGTTTTTCGGAAATTTGAATATAAATCAAATAAGTCAATGATTACTTTGTCTTTCTATGAGTTTCAGTTTAAATACAGCAATCAAAAATTAGTGTAAAAATAGCTGTGATAGACTAGGCTAAAATTCTTTATCGGTACTTTTATAAAACAGATTGTTAAATGGTGTATATTAGAATGCTAGATTGAAACAAATACCCCATTTTACAGGCAACAACTCGCGAAACCACTCTTAAAATAAGCACCGAAAATTTTAATATGGTAAAGTATGGGAAAAATTCTCCGCGGTCAAAGGTCGGGGAAAGGTCCATTCAGTGAATTGTCCCGGGCCAGATTATTTTATTCCGGCCGTATTTTGCCGACCACTGGGATACGCAAACTACCTTGCCTTATTGCGAAGACGAGACAAGAAATCCTTTCGCGTGTGATAATCGCCCACGTGATTCAAGCCTGCGAATGCACACAGAGTACAGAATTAAGTGCGCCGAACATAAAACAGGTTTCGCATAATCGCCCCCCTCTGTATCGTTTTCGCCCACTGGGGGGCGATATTGCCCACTTTGGGAATCACTGGTCTAGATCATGCAGTTGTACTTGGTGATGGAAACTTTTTTTTGTAATTACTTTGACTGTAATGTCTCATTAACTACTGTATCTTTAAATTAATTATTTTTTCCCATTGTTTAAGGTCTTTTCAATACTAGTAGTAGTATCATAAAATTCTTTATAAAATCAAACCAAGTCATCTCAGAAATGGAGGAAAAAATCAATACAGATTCTAAAGAACATGCTGTTGAAATTTTACAACAATTAAATGAATATCGTAAAACTGGACGTCATTGTGATTTCATGATCAAAGCTGGATCTGAGGAACTTCCTGTTCATAAGAATATTGTGTCGGCAAGTTCAGATTATTTTAAAGCAATGTTATCTCATGAAAATGTGGAAACAAAATCTAGTGTCGTTGAAATAAAGGAATTTGATGAAGTTTGTGTTGAAAAATGTGTTGATTTCATTTACACTGGAGATGCTTATGTTGCTAAAGAAAAACGTGAAACACTAATGGGTGTCGCTCACATGATGCAACTGCAAAGACTTTGTGATGGTATTGCAATTTTTCTGGAAGATGATCTTGATCCTAAATCGTTTTTTCAAACTAAAAAAATTGCGAATAGGTACAACTGTAAACAACTTGAGGAAAAATGCAATCAATTTGCATTGCAGCGTTTTATAGAAATTGCCCAGTCTGATGAGTTTATGGATCTTGATGAAAAATTTATTTCTTTTCTGATGGAATCAAAGGAAACAAAAGCAAAAGAAGAAGTGAAATGTAAGATGTTGTTAGCATGGACCAAACATGATATTGATGAAAGAAAAGAATGTTTTCTTAGTTTGGTGATGAAATTTCAATTGACAAAAATGCCTTTGTCATACAGAAGATTTCTTGTAGAAAATGAACCATTGATGTTTGAATCTATGCAATCTCTTCGATCACTGACTTTGTCGGTTTTTGATAGTCATGGGGATGTCAGTGCAAAAGATGTCAATTTAACAGAGAATAAACAGCTTGTTGTTTTTGACAGAACTTCTCAAAGAATGCATTCTCATGACGTTGATGATAAAACATGGAAACCGATGCAAACTATAGAAAACGCAATTATAAAGAATTTATATTCTGCTGTAGTGATGGAATCTTACATTTATGTGATTTGTACGAATAGATCGTTTTACAGACTTGAATATGCTGAATCAAATGCAAAGTGGGAACAAATGGCAAATACAAATCTTCAGTGGGCATGTGTAGTTGCACTTGATGGTTTTGTTTATGGTATTGAGTATCAGAATTACTCAAACATTATGGAAAAATATGAACCATCAAATAATAGATGGACCAGACTAACAAACAAATCATTGATTCTAGCTTGGAAATCTTTGGTGGCTGCTGATGGAAAGGTGTTTTGTATTGCAGGAATGAATCAGCAAGGTCGAGCAACAAACCAAGTTGAGATTTACGATCCTGTCACATCAACTTGGTCAATGGATAATAGATCATTGAATGAAGCAAGATATTGTGCTTCTGCAACTGCTACAGAGGAAGGAATATATATTATGGGAGGTTATAATAATAATAGAGGTTCAACTCTCACTACTATTGAATTTCGTTCATCTTTAACTAAAACCTGGATGATGTTGAAACCAATGAAAACTGCAAGGCAAAGGTTCAGTAGTTGTGTGATTGATGACAAAGTTTATGTCATTGGTGGAAATGAAAATTCTGCAAATATAGAGGAATATGATCCTGAAACAAAAAAATGGAAAATCATTGAAACAATACCAGGAAAAAATATAACTCCAATGGCAACTGTTGCAATATCTATATAACATTGATAGCTATTATTCATTGCCTATATGCAATTATGGATCTTGTAGGGAACTTTATTGAATTTTTTCATTCCTCGATCTAACTCCGGGTCCAAATTCAGGCCCACGGATCCGCCGCTTCATTATTTGTTGCCCTCGTCACATTTACGGGAGAGTAAACAAAAAATTGCATTTGTTTTCGTATAGTCATAAAAATAACCAGAAAAATCTTCTGACATTTTGTTACATCATTTATGTCACTGATTTGACTAGTTTTATGGCTAGCTGAGGCAATTAGCGATGTGCTTGGCTAGCCTGAATTGTTAACTGGCTTTCTATCTTTTTCGTCTGGAATATATGCTAACAGAATAGGCTTCATAGAAAACTTAAAATCAAATTAGGAATCTATTAGCCTAGGTTGCCTATGCCTGATAACTAAATTTCGATGTAATGTAATATAATTCCTGCTGTGTGTTTATTGCAACCAGCCTAAACAGTATTACAAAAAATGCTTCATATATGTCAGAAAATTTAGCTCTTACCCTACTGTATCTCAAATACCACAATGCGTGCTTGATATGTCTGCAAGTTGTTTTGGTGGCAATTTAAAATGGCACTTTTCTTTTGGCACTTCCTCTGTTATGAAGAGATTGAAATCTTGCACTGAATGTAGATATAGTAAGATTTTTGCACATTTTGGTGAGTTTTTTTGTGTTTTAGCATGTTTCAGCTTGATAAATGACAAATAATGATCAATGTGTTTTGACAACGAAATTGTTTGTTATATATTGCATTGATTACCTATTGTGACCCGCAAAAAGAAAAAAAATAATGGTATTGTCCCCGAGGCCGACAATCTTGAAACACCCTGATGTAACTAGTATCTAATTAATAATTCGACCACCTGACCGCTTACATATTACCTAATGTTTTTAATTCTAATGACGGTTTTTCATTTTCCTTTTTTTATTACATTATTGAATTGATAATGATCACGATTTTATTTTATCATTCCTTGACATTTTCCATTTTTTTTATTATTCCATTCAATTTTGTGACATGCCATAATGGTGGTGTTGACCTCGTTCAATTCCTATTTATGTTTTATGGGTTCACAATTTGAAATCCTTTCATTCAAAATACCTAAATTGTTTTTGATAAATTCTATTTGATCTTAGTTTAACTCAACAAATTTCAAATTTTCAGCTGTTGATCAGAAAGGGTTAATATTAAATAATCATTTCCATCAGTGAAAATCACTGTATTTTTTCAAATTACTGATTTTGTAATGTGATAATTTTTTTCTATGCTTTTTATTCATGAAATAACTGTTAGCAGATTAACCATTATGAATTGTAATATTCAGGCTAGGCTTTTTATTACCATGCTCCTGTTGTACAAAATTGGTTTCTGTTCATTCAATTTTAAAATTTTGAAAAGGTAATATTTCAAAGATTAAAAAACTTTCCTAACCAGAATAATATTTATTCAACCTTGCCTTAGTAATAACATTACTGCTGATCACAGTTAACCAATTGATTTTTTCATTTTTAAGGATGGGTTCATTTCATATCATCATTTGTATAACGAGATTAGAGATATGTTATGGTATTTTTCAAGTGATTTTCGGCGCAGCGGTGTGACTCAACGGGCTAAGCGTTAGTAATACGCTCGCCACCCCACCTCTAATTACTCTGCGTGGGTTCGCAGGTTCGAATCCCATGCAGGGATGGTTATGTGCGAGAGGATTGCTGGACTCCTCGCCGTCGTTGGGTGGTTCACGTAACCGCTGGTCGGTTACGGCTTCCTCCACCACCAAGTCCATGCTTCCGAAAACAAACAATATATAACTAATCCCATACCCGACTTGGAATGGTAACCGGACGAGAGGCCGTGGTTAGCCATAGGGATAAGCCGTCTTATCGACTTTCCTCTCCCCCGGGATAAATATGTGAATCCTATCCTATCCTAAGTGACGGCCATGTAACATACAATACTCAAGCATGTAACATGAATGAAATATACCAGTAACTGAAACGATACCACCTAGTAAGTTGGTGAATTAACAACTGTCCTGCACACAGTCAAGCACCTTGCATCACATGAACCAACCTACGGCATCAAGGAATCCAGCAATCCTCTCGCACATAACTATCGCCACATGGTATTCAAACCTTGCAAACTAACGCAGGGTAATCAGAGTTGCGATGGTGAGTCTATTCCTAACGCTCGTACCACTCCTATTCCTAACACCGCCGTTTTATTCTTATACTTTATGCCCCTAAGAATAAGAAAAAGCAAAAGTTGTTAAAATTTTTTCTATTTCTATCATTTTATGGAAGACTATGGTAGTTAAAAAATAGTTCCTTAAAAGGTTTCCAAGAAATGCTAATATTGTTTAGAAGTTATTGCTATGTCAAAAAATTGTATGAGCCGTATTGGTATTTGCATCTGTTTGTCAACAAGTTTCGATTATATAACCATATAAGATAAGTATAAATCACTAGTTGTTAATTAGATCATCAGTAAACAATTATTTGCCCACAGTATAAAAGAAAGTGAATGATAAATAATGAATACTACCTAATTAATATACCGGTATGTAATGCACAATGCTATCGGTAAACCACAAGATGTTATTTATATTCTGTCCCTCATGCTGTTGTAATTAGGCTTCCCGCTGCTTGTCAGCAGGGAACCTATTGTATTCCTGTGTTTTATTATTATTATTTATTTATTATTATTATTATTTATTTTTAATATTTTTTTTTCAAATTGGTCCTACAAACTTGAAATTCACCTCAAATGTGCAGAAGTTCTCAGCTAGCAATAAAATGCAAATTTTATGCATGACTGACCACGCTTTCACGCTCCAGTGAGCAAAACGCGTTTTCAGTTTTTTTGCGATTCCTCAAAATTGATACATGCTATTGGGTTGAAATTCATAACAATGATTAATGGACATGTTCCGGATACGATATGTCAAGGATACGCATGAGTGACCTCGGCGATACGCTCCAGTGAGCAATATAGGATTTTACATTTTCATCTTCTTCTCGAGAACGACACTACTTAGAGACTTGAAATTTACATCACATGCAGATAATAAGTCCCCCATCATAAATTGCAAATTTTATGCATGACTGACTACGCTTTCACGCTCCAGTGAGCAAAACGCGTCTTCAGTTTTTTTGCGATTTCTCAAAATTGATACATGCTATTGGGTTGAAATTCATAAGAATGATTAATGGACATGTTCCGGAAACGATATGTCAAGGATACGCATGAGTGACCTCGGCGATACGCTCCAGTGAGCAATATAGGATTTTACATTTTCATCTTTTTCTCGAGAACGACACTACTTAGAGACTTGAAATTTAAATCACATGCAGATAATAAGTCCCCTATCATAAATTGCAAATTTTATGCATGACTGACCACGCTTTCACGCTCCAGTGAGCAAAATGCGTCTTCAGTTTTTTTGCGATTTCTCAAAATTGATACATGGTATTGGGTTGAAATTCATAACAATGATTAATGGACATGTTCCGGATACGATATGTCAAGGATATGCATGAGTGACCTCGGCGATACGCTCCAGTGAGCAATATAGGATTTTACATTTTCATCTTCTTCTCGAGAACGACACTACTTAGAGACTTGAAATTTACATCACATGCAGATAATAAGTCCCCCATCATAAATTGCGAATTTTATGCATGATTGACCACGTTTTCACGCTCCAGTGAGCAAAACGCGTCTTCAGTTTTTTTTTACGCGGGGAGCCTGTTAAAGCTGCACGCAGCTCTAGTTTTAGTTACTTTCATTTAATACTTTATAAAGTTTGTTGTTGTTAACCTATGAATATTTTGCTTGATAAAGAAATTTTATGCTTTATATCAGGGATGGCGAACCTTTTTCAATGAATGGATCAAAAATCATAATTTTATCACAGAACAAAAGACTGTGGGTCACAGATATTCAATCAATGTTTGTACCTATACGAATCTTGCTGCTGCATCTTATCCTGCATTAATTATAAACTTCAGTTGGTGTTGTGTAGTTTTGGGCTTTATTCATTATGCACTTCTATCAAGCACTACTAGACTCTTTATGGCACTCAATCTTATGTAATTTGTGTACAAAAACAAACATATGAATTACCCAAAAAGGTTTTAGGATGATGAGGCAAATTAATTTATGCCGCCAAAGAGTTAGGTGGTAATTCTACTCTGATAGAGTTTTATTTTTCGATCGGTTTTCGACCACACTACTTCATCGTTATTTCAGAACTAGTTCTCGTGTACCCCCATCCCCATGAAAAATAAGTCTGCAGTGCCTCTTCGTTCATGCACTTCTAAAAAAGGAACGCTGTAGCAATACATTGCGAGAACTAAACGATTCAATTGTACTGTTATGTCATAAACGATGTCACGGCCAATAGGTACATAACGGTATACACGGGTGAGTGAACACGTATGTCCAGGATAGTTTTGGAAATTACCACATCGACCCGGAATTCAAAATTTGAATTTAAGCAGTCCCAGCACTAGCTGCCCAACTAACGATACATTATGATAGTTTACTTATTGTTAAATTTAATTAAAGTCGGTTTTATCAATTTTTATCACTTATATATGTATATATATGTTACGGTAATGTTTTTATTTAATTCATGTCTGGGGGTGTCACCGAAAAAAAACGTGATGGTTCACTTTGTCACCCGTGGGTCAGTGGTTCGCCATCCCTGGTCTATGGTTTCATAATTTCTAATCCTACCTTTTTCATTAATTTACATTAATTGTTTATAGAAAGATGTACCTGATATTAGTTTAAGACAATGATTCATTACATTAAAGTTTTTCAGCTGTATGCTTCAGAGGTGTTAATATTAAATAGTCTTTTCTTGAAGATCGAAGATCACTGTACTTTTTGATTATTTATTTTGTTCCACTGCTTTCTTGTTATAATTAAATCTAATTGTGCATTTTTAAATGTGTTAAATCTGTGTGTTTTTTTTGTCATGGAAAATCTGTTCAATAGATTTGACATTATCATTTGTCATATTCAGGCTTGTGGCTATAAAGCTTTTATTACATTGCCCCTGTTGCACATATTGCTTTCTGTTCATCCAATATCAAATTTTTGCAAAATAGAAATTGCCAAGATGAAAAATAAAAACTTCTAATCGAAATAGTATTTATTCAACCATGCCTTAGTAATAAATAACCTCACTGCTGATTGCTGTTGACCAATGCATTATTTGTATTTACGATTATCATTTATTATAATTGATATGGTTTGATAACATACTTGTTCAAGTTCAAGTTGTGCTATTTTTATTTTTGTGTTTTCAAAAAATAGTTAAAAATTAAATAACTCAATTGCCATTATGCCTTCCGAAGAGCTTTTGTTTAAGCAGTCAATATTTGACTTCATTCTTTACATAGCTCCGAGATTGTGATGTGTTGTTATTTGATCAGGCATTGCCTTCTGTTAAAGTTTAATTTTTTTATTGTAGTCATTGTTTTAAGAAGCAAGATTTATTTGTGATGAACCGTGAAGTCAAACTCTTTTAATTTAATTTCTCTATTGTTCAAGGTATTATAATTGGTAGGACAAGTACGGCCATACGATACCGGTTGGTTTTTCTATGCAAATGTCCACTTTCTGAGAATGGGATCTGATCTAATCAAAATTTAATTCGATCAGTTGGCATGAAAAAATAAAAACGAAAACATGACGGTATCACACAGGGTTGCCAATATTGGTTTTTTTATCCGCAAATTTAGCAATTTTGATTTTTTGAAGCACGTTCAGTGTCGAAATTCACGTTTGATGTCCTGGCATTTACTTGACTTGTTGATATATATTCTAGTTTCTACTATTAAAATGGTCCGCAATACGGTATATAGTGTGCAACAATAGCCTACTGCTTAGCTACCCCCAGGAATTGAGTTTCTTGTTTATAACTTTAACCCCAACCAAACTTTTGCAGCTTCTCAGATAGATATTCAAGCAGGGGTGTTGTGAATTTAGTTTTGCACGTTACATTGTTATTTGTCAGTTTTTAGTTATGTTTATGAAAATATTTGAAAATTAAATAATCAATTGTCATTAAGCCTTCCATTATTCCGAGGAGCTTCAGTTTTATCAGTCAATATTCAACTTCATTTATTACATAGCTTCGAGATTGCGATGTGTACTTATTTAATCAGGCATTGCCTTTCGTTATGGTTAATTTTTTTATTGTAATCTTTGTTTTATGAAGCAAGGTTTATTTGTGATGAACTGTGAGTGTGAAGTCAAACTCTTTTCATTTAATTTCTCTATTGTTTAAGGTATTAATTAATAGTGGTATAATCTAAGCAGTACTTTATAAATCAAACAAAGTCATCTCAGAAATGGAAGAAAAAATCAATACAGATTCTAAAGAACATGCTGTTGAAATTTTACAACAATTAAATGAATATCGTAAAACTGGACGTCATTGTGATTTCATGATCAAAGCTGGATCTGAGGAACTTCCTGTTCATAAGAATATTGTGTCGGCAAGTTCAGATTATTTTAAAGCAATGTTATCTCATGAAAATATTGAAACAAAATCTGGTGTCGTTGAAATAAAGGAATTTGATGAAGTTTGTGTTAAAAAATGTGTTGATTTCATTTACACTGGGGATGCTTATGTTGCTAAAGAAAAACGTGAAACACTCATGGGTGTCGCTCACATGATGCAGCTGCAAAGACTTTGTGATAGTATTGCAATTTTTCTGGAAGATGATCTTGATCCTAGATCGTTTTTTCAAACTAAAAAAATTGCGAATAGGTACAACTGTAAACAACTTGAGAAAAAATGCAATCAATTTGCATTGCAACGTTTCAAAGAAATTGCCCAGTCTGATGAGTTTATGGATCTTGATGAAAAATTCATTTCATTTCTGATGGAATCAAAGGAAACAAAAGCAAAGGAAGAAGTGAAATGTAAGATGTTGTTAGCATGGACCAAACATGATATTGATGAAAGAAAAGAATGTTTTCTTAGTTTGGTGATGAAATTTCAGTTGACAAAAATGACTTTGTCATATAGAAGATTTCTTGTTGAAAATGAACCACTGTTATTTGAATCTATGCAGTCGATTCGTTCACTGACTTTATCAATACTGGACAGCCATCCTGAGAATATCAGTTCAAAAGATTTCGATTTAACAGAGAATGAACAGCTTGTTGTTTTTGATCAAACTTCTCAAAGAATGCATTCACATGATGTTGATGATAAAACATGGACACCAATGCAAACTATAGATCAAGCAATTATACAGAATACATTATATTCTGCTGTAGTGATTGAATCTTACATTTATGTGATTTGTAGAAATGGATCGTTTTATAGACTTGAATATGCTGAATCAAATGCAAAGTGGGAACAAATGACAAATACAAATCTTCAGTATGTATGTGTAGTTGCACTTGATGGTTTTGTTTATGGTATTGAATATGGAAATCACTCAAACATTATGGAAAGATATGATCCATCAAATATTAGATGGACCAGACTAACAAACAAATCATTAATTCTAGTTCGTGAATCTTTGGTGGCTGCTGATGGAAAGGTGTTTTGTATTGCAGGATATTCTAATCAGCAACATGGAGCAACAAAACAAGTTGAGATTTATGATCCTGTCACATCAACTTGGTCAATGGATAATAGATCATTGAATGAAGCAAGATATTGTGCTTCTGCAGCTGCTACAGAGGAAGGAATATATGTTATGGGGGGTTATAATGTTAATGGAACATCAACTCTCACTACTGTTGAATTTCGTTCTTCTGTAACTAAAACCTGGATGATATTGAAACCAATGAAAAATGCAAGATATAACTTCATAAGTTTTGTGATTGATGACAAAATTTATGTCATTGGTGGAAATGGAAATCCTGCAAATATAGAGGAATATGATACTGAAACAAAAGAATGGAAAATCATTGAAACAATACAAGGAAAAAATATAACTCCACTGGCAACTGTTGCAATATCTATATAACATTGAAAGATATTATTTTTGAACAAATATGGCTCTCATATGCTTATTAAAAATCTCTGTCAACTTTTTGAATTTTTATCAAATTAATTTTTATTGTAATATTCTAACCTAATTTTTTGTGTTTCATAATACTCAACCAAATATTTTTTAGGTTATCTTGTTTCTATATTTGTATTATATATGGATGGGGGCTATGTAGAATAATTTACTATTCTATTTAGAGTTGGAACCCACTATTTATTACCACAGCTTATGGCGACCCATTTAACTTTTTATGACATAACACAGAACACAGCAATGGCTAATCATCGCAAAACTACCGTGTTTCCTCGAAAATAAGACCTGGCCTGGAAATAAGATCTAATTTGAATTTTAAAAATGATTTTAATCAAACTCTACCCTTAAAATAAATTTCAAATGTGTGGGAGAGGAAAGGTTCAATGACCTGAGGTAAGATGAAAATCACACCACTGTTCAAGATTGTGTGATGTCACAATCACAGATTCACAGTTATGATATTTTTCACTTGATTTTTGTATAGGAAATACAAATAAAAACAATCGATGTCGGTTTTTATATAATGTTTATTGAAAAATCTCATGATTTTCTACAATGTAATTTTGTTTTTGATTAATGAACACAAAAGACCTCTTCCAAAAAAAAAACATAGTGTTATTCTTCAAAAGAAAATAAATATAAATCCTGTCTAAATTTTGGGGAAACACGGTAAGAAGTGCTGTACAGTGTACAAAACTGCTATGCGTATAAAGCCACATGGTCATTCTTTGTGTAGCAAAGTTTTGTTCCTTTGAGAAGATCGTAAAAAGGAAACTTTCACAGATTAGAATTTAAATTCAATTTAATTTCTTTTATTTTTTTTTGAAGATTTACGTATTCGAGTCGCCACCGATTCTAATAACCAGTATAATTAATCAAAGCTTTTTACATCTTTTCATAACCCACTAAGATTCCTTTTGCGACCCACCAGTAGGTCGTGACCCATAGTTTGGGGACCGATGTTCTAGAATACTGAAATCGAATCCAGAATTCTATTCATTTTCATACCTATTCAAATAGTGGGAATTTCCACATAGATGAATTTAGATGTTAAAAAATTGAAAATGTATCACTATAAATGTATTATTTATTTGGAAACAATTGGAACATTGGATTTCATTTGATACTAAACAGGCATTTCCCAGGACAATAAAATTTAAGAATATCACAATATATTTTGCCTTCCAATTGTTCCAAATGTAGGTGTAATTCCTAAATACTGATATGCTAAATTAAGACACAGTATACACACTTCAATAGTGAGTGGTTAAATAAAAAAATATATATGAAACCGGTTTCAAATCATTGTTAATGTTAGTCTGCCAAGTGTACTAAAACATACCCACTGAGAATTAATTAGATGCGGGACCAGCGTGTGGCTACTGCAATCTATACAGCCGTTGTAAAATATTAAATTTAACCACTATCAATTAAAATCAACTTTTTATTCTGCGTGAGCATGACTCATAAAACCAAGTTTCCATAAACGCGATTTTGTTCTTAGTTATTAGGAACTAACATCTAAAGACGAATTACGGACTAAAATACTACAGACACTCGATCAAACGTGCGTCTATCTTGAACGATTGTGGTGTTGACCACCTTCAGTTTTTAATCATGTTTCATGGTTACATAATTTGAAATCCTTTCATTCACGCTGCCTAATTTGTTGATGAAAAATTCTATTTGATATTAGTTTAGCAGAACAATTCAATAATAATTTCCTTTAGTGAAAATCACTGTTTTATTTTGCAAATTATCAACTTTTTTTCACTGCTTTCTTATTGTTGTCTATGCTTTTTATTCATAAAATAACTGTTTAATATCTTTTCCATTATGAATTGTAATATTCAAGCTAGTGTCTGTAAAGCTTTTCATTACATGGCCCCTGATGCAGTGATGAGCTGTAGCCGGAACGGCGTTCCGGTTGTTAGACATTTTATTGCATTTGCGTTCCGGTTGTTGAAATAAAATTATGTCATAGAAAGTCTAGTTCTAGTACATCTTGTAAACTTACTTATTAACTTTCGTTTTGTTACGCCATAATTCTTTTTACATTACAGCAGACAAATATTTAGTGCACTGCAATAACGTGTAATGAATGTTTCGCCGACCTTTGACCCCGTTAAATTTCATCCTATACCTTTCTAATAAACACATTCGTATTGAATTGGTATAAATATTCTTGTGATATTAAACAGACATATACAGATAATTTCTTCATATTTCATTGTAGTCCTTCGGCTCTATCTTACGACAGACAAAACTTAGGACAGACAAAACTACTTGTGGTAGCGTCCGCGTCGTGTTGTAAATATATATTACATTTTCACGAATTAGCTGAGTTCCGGTTGTTACGATTTTCCCAGCTCATCACTGCCTCGATGCACATACTGTATTGGTTTTTGTTCATCCAATATCAAAGTTTTGCAAACTTAAAATCGCAAAGATGAAAAAAAAACTTGTATTGTAAAATCGTATTGTAGTCCTGTAAATAATATTCCCGAAATTTTTAATAATATATAGAATCTTAGGTGTTGCTGCTCGATAACCAGCTTTGGTTCCCCACGACTTCCCTTCTTTAGAAAAATTGATACTTGTGTATGATTGTTTTTTACTGATTGGAAAAAATAAACTTTACTCGACATTGGTCATCCATCCTCTAGTAATAACCTTACTGTTGATCAATCCATTTTTATGTATTTATATTTTAGGAATGCCTCATATCATATTCTGTTATAACGGGATAAGAGATATGTTATGGTATTTTTCGAGTTGACAAACAATAATTCAACTTCTGATAATTAGATTTAAAACTATTTAAATGGTATTTCTGGGTTTATATGGATTTTCATGGACAATTGAACTTGAAAAATTCAGTTCTTTTTTGCCTGGAAACAGTGGAATTCTTCAGATTTGTGAGGATCTCCAATTAATGAAAACATAATCAAGTCAAGATGAACTTCCTTTTACTAGAAAGAGTGAACAATGCTCCTGTCACCTTATAAATATTTTTTTTTGAATGCAATTTGGGTCCTAGCTTCTAGGTATCTTATTGAGAGCTCCTGCCCTGTTTTTCACAGTTAAAACAAATGGCATCTCAGTACATCTTTAAACAAAAGTTTTAAAAAAAATCTTTATACCGGTAGATTATTTTTAAGCATGACTGATTCAAGTGGCCAGTAATTGGAGATTTTGAAGGGTAGAACTTCTGATGAGTCTACAAAGTGAATTCACTAAATCTTCATGTTGATGTTGCTAATTGCCATTAGGATACTAAAGACGCAGTTTCACACTACCAAAATTACTGGATGAAAAAAAAGTGAATCTTTCGGCAGTAGAGGCGACATCAGATGGAACCGTACAACAGTCCCTGTTAAACTTTGATGTTTATGTTACAATTAAAATTTAGCGCTTTTACACACTATTGAGGCATAATCGGACTATAAACGTACTTTACCAATGAGTGAACAGTGGGTGACTACATATGGGCTCGTATAAGTGAGATCGACTAGAACTATAGCTGGAAATTTAGAATAAAAAAATTGATCCGAGTCGCTGAAAAGTTATTTGAAATGCGTTTGTATTAATTTCTTACATAGAATACAAGGAACACTGAAAAATAGCACCAAACCAGATTTTACTGGAAATTTTACAATGTTTTATATTACCACAAGATCAAATTTTTGGAAAATTCTCCCATTTTCACAAAATCAAAATGTAAAAAAATTAAAGTAATGCCATTTAGTTCAGTTTTGGGGCGTAATAAATTAGAAAATAATAATCAAGAGGCCTGGAACAAAAAGTGTGTTACAGTGTAACCAACCACATCGATACAACTCAATGTCAAAGATCCCAAGAAAAGTCCCCTTTGTCAAATGCTTTTTACCAAGTCTCGATCTCTACCTCCCCAAAAACTAGGTACTTACTAGCAGCATTTAATCCAGTGGTTCTTAGTCCAAGTCCATGCTTCCGAAAACAAACAATACAGTATAACTAACTAATCCCATACCCGACTTGGAATGGTAACCGGACGAGAGGCCGTGGTTCGCCATATGGATAAGCCGTCTTATCTTACCTTTCCTCTCCCCCGGGATAAATATGTAAATCCTATTCTAATGTACAGATCGCTGCCCATGGAAGGTCTAAAAAGGGATCACGCCATGGTCGTCAATGCAAGAGCGATCCAAGAGGAGGTGGCCGAATATTTCAGCTGGTCCAATGTCTCAGTTTACCTTAACTTTGGTATTTGAAAAAATGAAATATTAAATGTCATTTTCAGAAAGAACTGTCTTAGTTCATTGTTGCATCACGATATGTATATCAGTCACATGTCTTGTTTTATGGTGTCAGCAACCTTGCACGTCGCTTGTTGTTGTGTTGACAGCGCGGAATGTCATTTTTTTCGAGGAAAACATTCAAAAATGGATGCCTTCTTTGGTAATGTGAGTCCTAATAGACAAGGCAAAAAAGAAGCTCGCCTGCCAACATCAGCTGATTCATAATCTAGAGCAGCGGTTCCCAAACTATGGGTCGCGACCCAACAGTGGGGAATCTTAGTGGGTCGTGAAAAGATGTAGAAAGCTTTGATTAATCATACTGAATATTAGGATACGGTGGCAACTCGAATGCGTAAATCCTCAAAAAACAAAAGAAATTTAATTTAAATTCTAATCTGTGAAAATTCCTTTTTACGATCTTCTCAAAGGAACAAAAAAGTTGAAACTTGAGGGAATTGGTTACAATTAGCGCCTGACCCTCTATTAGGCACAAAAGCACTCGAGCCCAATCTTTTTAGCATTAAGTCGCATATGTAAAATATCCTTTAAGAAGTGCTGTTTATTAACGACATCGCGTCTTATGACCACGCAGAAATGCCTTTATTGCCGAATTATTTAATCACTATTTTAAATCAACATTCAGGATTAGCACAATCTCAGATT